AGTATTTGGAAACAGGTCTTGGGCGTTTTTTTCATAAATTATTTTAAGAAGCCCTCTAACAGATGGTTTTGCTGACTTAATGCATTTTATAAATTCACGAAAATGTATTAATTCATTAGGCATTGACTCATCTAAATAATTTGGATAACAAGTTATTAAATGTCTGGACTTATCGATAATGTCTATGTATACATACAGGATGGTGCACTACATATAGGTACGGCGGTGAACGTGAACGCGTTGGTGTGTGCTAGAATGATCGCTCATATTATCACTGCCCTGATCGTGATCGCACCAGTGTGCGTATAGCTTAAAGGCCAATATTTTAATATTGGTGTTTCTGTTTTAAAGCTTTTTAATTACTTTTAAGATTAAAAGTGAGTCAGCTGTGGTAATCACTAAATTTGACGTTTAAGTTATGCAAGATTTTTTGACAGGCAGTTTTTTCGTCGAAAAATTTTAAATATTTTTTTTCTCAAAAACGGTTGATGTTAGATATAGAGTGTTTAACATATATCACAGAATTTTACAGAGAATTTAAATATATAATAAAAAATGGGGTGAACCCGTTTAAATTAAGAAAGTTGCTGTCAACTTCCGGTATTTCCGGAAGTGCCGCCATATTAAAAATATTTTTAATCGATAGATCACGTTGTAAAACAATGATGTGCAAGAAATCTCCGATCTAGATATTTTAGTTCTCTTGAAATGCACGTTCAGCCTGGGCCACCTATTATATTCTATTTCATTTTGTTATTTTTCAAGCCATTCTAAGTAATTAGGGGGAGTAATGTTACATCAAGAAAAATAATCTCAAAATTAATTAGCTAATATCGTAACAAGACGGCGTTTTGATAAACATCCACAAAGCCTTTCCACTTATATAATTGAAACATGGAAGGGCAACAGTTTAATAAAAAATACGTTATTATTATCTACATCGGGAGATTTTTCAGTGTGTATCCATTTGAAAATAGCAAGAAATCCAGGTAATTCTTTTATTTAAAAAAATAGAATATTGTTTAGTCAACAAGTCTTAAAACGTAACATTTCATATTATTGATGCTTTTCAACAAGAAGTATCACTCATGACGCTTACTGCCTAGTTGGCCTTTAGAAGGTTGTTATTTATTTTTATGTTGAGTAAAAATTAGTTTAAAATTCGAGAAAAATATTTTTTATTTAAATCTTTCTATAATTAATATTAATTTTTGATAAGATTTATGTCAATTTTTAGTAAATGACGTCTAGAGATTGACCTCGCCAAAATTATCATCGATTGTCATTTCCATCATAAGGTATTTTATGATAGTGTTTTTCTCCAAAATGAAATATAGTAATAAAATACACTAGAGTCTATCCAAAGAAAGAAGGCATAAGAGCCCTTGCACACACACCGGCAAATTGGGAGCCGCAGCCGGTGCCGGCGCGTTATGGTGCGTTAAGACTTGAGCACGCACGCACTGATCCTCCGCGAATGATCAAGTGTAAACGGCTGTGCGTGCACGCTCACTCTGAATCTGTGTGTGCGCGAGCAGCCGCGAACGTGAGCCGTCTGGTGTCGGTTTTTGGTCCGTGCTCAAAGGGATTTTATGTGTGCGCGAACGCTCAGTTTGCACCGGCAATTTGTTTTGTCTGCGTTCGTGCGTGCATGTGTGATTTTTTTTTTCGTTTTCTTTATTAAAATTATGTGTGGATCAATGAATCTTCGTTATTATTAATTGAAGAATATGAATAGTTGCCTAGATTATGGGATGTTAAACATTCTTTGTATCTTTGTATTATTAAAAAATCAAAAAAAAAACGCATGGCAAGATCTTGTAAATGAAATTAATATTGAATATGTCGATATTAATGAAATTGCTATTCTAAAATTTGTATCTCTTGTTCGTAATTTTTGGTGTTATTAAATTTTGTAAATATTGAAAGTCGGGTCTATGGTCATTCTTGTAAAGTTTTTGAACTGATCATAGCCCTTATAGCCCTCAGACACTAAGTTGTTGCAGTAAATTATATCGATTGCTAAATATTTGGGTTTGCCACCAGCGACGATGTTTTCGATTTTTCTCCTTTTTAATAATTAAGTTGTGCATAACAATGACTGCAGCCTCGACTATTTCTTGGTCGTCCATTATTTTCGCCAACACAACTCTGTTGTGCGCGCACAAATGGATCACTTCATTCGTCGAAAAACAAGTTTTTAATTTGAACGGAGCGGAGAGCGCGAACGAATGCCGTGCGCCCACGCTCAGTTCGTGCGTGCTCAAGTCTAAACGCACCATTCCACGTTAATAAATAAATGTCTTGATGATCAGTTCACTTTGACTGTTGCATTGACTGTTGCATTACTCAAAAATGAACGATATATTAGTTTACGTTTTAAACAAATATTTTGTATCGTCTAGGTCCGCTCCGTTCATCGGATATATGATTTGCTTGTTATTGGTGTCATTTTATATTTTCATTTCCATAACGATTTCGCTGTTTTACTCATAGTCTAAGAGCTAGTAACGTTTTCGAGAGAGAATTTTAAGAAAGCTGGTTCTTTAATATATCTTTTTGCTATGCTCTCCTGAACAGATTGCGGATCGTCTGGCTGACGGTAGACGTTGTGTTCACTACTGCGCGTCATATCTGTTTTCAATATATATGTTCACTACTGCGCATCAAAAATTCACCCTGTATTTCAGGAACTAAGAAGGCTAGCACAAACCTATGTGTAGCATATTTAATAAAAAAGTAACAACCCATATAGCACGTCCAAATGAAATTACGTTTCTACAAGGGAGACACATGAGAAACAACATATGTTAAAGTGACCCTAAGTGTTCATCTACTTCTAACATATACATATGAGATACACGCAGGTTTATATTGATAGAATTGTGTGACAGAGTGTTTACTAGTTGTATACCGTATGCACTCAAGATTCTAAAGAGTTTTTTGTGACGTAACAAATAATTATTAAAATGATGAAATCTGACGTCGGTATATGAGACATACAATGTATAAGTCATATGTATGTGTGATACTTCGTATCATAGTTGTGCCTATAGTACACACCTTGTAAAAATGTGACGTATACACATAATATAGACACTTTGTAATAGTGTACTGTTGTGTCTACATTCTAACATGAAATGAAGGTGTGCGCATGCGCGGATAGCCTCAGCGTAGATACACCGACCAAGTGTATCTTACGTGTCCTCTCTCTTTTCTCCTTTCTAGGAGTGGTATGTGTTTAGCAGCCATTATTGTTTTATCATTCGGAAGCTCTATATAAATGTTCTGTTTGTGTGTAGTTTAAAAGAGATTTTAAGGTAAGTACAAGTCTTTAATTACCTTGTTACACCTTCCTAAGAGTATTATTAATATTATAGCAGCGACTCTTCCCTTGATCGATACTCAATTTACCAAATTTTGACTCCAATGAATGAAAACTCCAAATATTCTCGTATAATGATAAAGAGGTTAGCTGAGTTAGCTCTGCAATATAATTTTTTTTTAATTTGGAAATAATAAAAATCTAAATGACCCAGAGAAAGAAAGATTTAAATACTTCAAAGAACTTCTTACACTGATATTCGGTAAGTTATTGATGGATCAATATACAGATATGTTTAATATTCAATAATCAGTTTCATATAAAATTTAAGGGTGAGATTGTTAATCTGTAAATAAAATACAACAAGTCCAACAGAGTGCTCGATGAATGAGTATGCTAATAAACCAACTGCTTGTATGGAAAAGAGGAGAAAAACCTGAAAAAATTACTAAACGAGGTCCACCAAATCGTGGCGATATACCAGTGTTTACCATTTTAGTATGTTGTTATACTAGGTACTTATATTTTTAATACATTTTGATACAAATTCTGTTCTCTTACAGTGTTTTCTTACTTCTGGTTTCTGCAGTGTAAATAATTATTATTCTCTTATTTGCGCTATTGCGTTTCATGATATAAAGAAATATAAGAATTTTATTTTTTAACCACTTAATCCATTTTATGGAAGAAAAATGGTACATTTAATACAAAACAAAAATGGAACAATTTTAAGGCTACTTCTCTTGAACTTACGATCGAGATACTTTTGGAAAATACAAAGTTTTGCCTTCCTAATTTTCGTTCTAAAAAGATATAATTGGTATCATTGAATAAATATTTCTTAAAAAGAACGAAAAGTTAGACATCAAAACTTGTATTATTTCCTAAATTCGTTCATAAGAAGTAGTTTTATCTAGCACAAGATGTATATACGAAGTAAAATACATACGTATACACGCGGTAGTCACAACTGCAATGTGTAAACATAGTTTAAACGTAATACACAAGCATTGTGTATTCTACGGCACACTGTGTATCCCTTACTTTGTGTATACGTAAATGCTATACTGTGGCTACATTGTGAGGCGGACGTTTAACCTTTGTGCATACGTGTTGAGCTACAATGTGTAAACGTAGCATATTTACATTGGGGGAATTGTGTCACCCTGTGTCTACATCTAATAATGTAAACACATCGTAAATGTGATTTGATGTGCTGTATGGGAAAGTAACGTGAAAATCGCATCATTGTATCTCTACTCATAAACGACAAATTCCCATAAAACACACGAAAATGGAATACCCTATACAGATGTGATGCGCAGTAGTGAACCGCAGTAGTCTACCGGCAGCCAGACGGCCGGTCCCGCACTTTGGTCAAGAGAGCACAGGAGAGCATAGCAATTAAAATTCTCGTTTTCTCGATGGTGCTAGGCTCTTGTACTATTAGATATATTTTTATTAAGGTTAGATTAAATTTGTTAAAAAAGTGTCAAAACGTCCGTTATCGTACGATCTTTCTCCGTTGACAGGCTAGAGTAAAAAATTTACGGATGAAAAGTGGCGCGAAAACGCTATGACGAATCAGAGCGCCGTCGGACCATCGTATCAACGAATAATGAAGGCATGAAGATCAAGCTTTAGATACTATATATAACACAAAATATCTTTTTAGGAGATATTTTCAATGTTTCCTTGCTGTAGCTCAGATCATCTTGTTTATAATATCCTATATCTATGCCATCGTAACCAAAGAAGTGACGTTGTTCGAAGGATTGGTAATTGAAAAATTGACAGACGATGTAGCTCATTTTTCTCTGACGTTCAGTAACGTATTTAACATAGCCACCGTAATTTTTTACAAGCATAGCGGTATATTAAAACTTCTGGAGGACTTGACAACAGTGGACAGGTAGGTATGTTTGACACTAGATGACAAAGATAATTAATGACTAATAAAGACTGTGATTTAGACTGCGGATTTAGACTACTGCTTTATTCATATTAAACACTGCTATTTTCCGCATGCTTTTTTATATCTATTGGAAACTAATATTTTGTTTATAGTCGAAAGATAAAAAAAAAAATAAACGTAGGTATAGAATAACATTATACACAAAAATTATTTAGAAAAAAAAAATTACGGTTATATTACATACATGGCTCTTTCAATGGTAAAATACCAGACAAAAATGATTGGTGGCTTTGATAAAAAATTGTTGTTTTTATTTATCAATATCTTTGAAACTATCAAAACATATTTAATAATGTCTTAGGATTATGTAAAGTAATCAAAAAGGAAGCCAAAAATGTAATAATATACGAGGTGTTCCAATTAAAAAAATCATCCGGATTTACTCACACTTTTTTGAGCCATCCTGTAGGAGTTAAAATATTTTTCTGAAATACATCCTAATACATACTTTAGGTTTGCACTTAAACAAAATTCCAAACTTTTTTATTATGGGAGCTACCGATGCCCGACGCACTTTTACCGGACCCTGCATGTCTACGAAATATGGGGACACCCTGTATACAAGGGTTTTATTGAAAAGTGGCAATTACTTCCGGTTGAACTGAACATACCAGAAAGTGGAAAATATACTTTTAACGAATGTTGTTGTTCACACATCCATATATACTCACATAATATTATATCACACACAATTTTCAGGACCCTGAACCATAAACCCGAAAATAATTGTTGCAAGTACAAAGTAAACGTATTACAACTATTTGCACTTGTGGTGTTCATTGCCGATCTGGCTTTTGGATTTCATATATTGGGAACTACAATGTATTTCCGATATTTTTTGCCAAGGTATACCTATATTAACGAAATATTGAATTATCTACTGATGGCAATGTCTAATGTATTCTGGTGTTTCTCTTTTAGATATTTACAAGCTAGCCAACTAAACGCTATGATTTTTATTGTTGCATCAATAATGAAGGAGATCACTGATAGATTTGAATTGTTAAACGGACTTTTAGGTCAAATGAAACAGGAAAGACTCAATGTAATTGAAGGACCTGATTCTGCTAGGAGAAACAACAAGGATGATGTCTACTCAAATGTAATTTTAAATTTTAGCAGAACTAATATCATTTCCAAAATTTTCTTTTAAATAAAGATAAAAGCCAACACTACAAGGCAGTAGCGGCTCGTCGGGTAAAGCAATCATCAACTAAAAATAAAGCTGATAATATCAAACGAAAAATTAACCGATGAATTTGCTTTTGCCAGGCATTTTTTGTGCGAGAAAACCTAAAAACAAAGATCTTATAACAAAAAATAATTATGGCGGTGGAGGGACTTTATTGATGGTTGTTTTCATTTTAAAATCCAGACACAGACATAGACTATTTAAGTTTGGTATATTCTGTGGTATATTGCTTCTTCACATTTAGAAACAGTGGCTGCTGAAAACGGGAACATCTTGGATACAAATTGCAGAAAATGTTTCAAAACATTTCCTTTAAAAGTTTTGATTCCGTAGAGAAACATTTCAGGAAAGGCTAGAGTGCTACCACATTGAAAACACATGTAATAAAGCCATATAAAATATATAGGTTTCAAAAATGTTTCCTATTTGTGGAACACCGTTTCCATTTTGTATCCAGAAACAGATACGATTATTCTTTCCAAAAAAAACCTTTATGGGTATTTCGCCACTGCACTGCAAGAAAATCTACAAAATAAAATAATTATTTTTTGTAAACACTTCTGCGTTAAACCTAAACGGACGCTGCTTGTCAGAAGTTATGTTTACAGTAATACAAATTTACCTAACAAAGAAAAAAAAATGCTTAACGTTTCGGAAAGTTATCTCTTTCCGTCGTCGGAAGCAAAAAAATACAAAGAATAAAGAAAAAAAACTATTTAAAATATTTAAATTCAACTATTCGAGAACACTTTACTTTTTTAAAACAGATACGTCTACAAAAAAACCGTTGACATTTATGTTTTAAAAATTTTAATTTGAAACCTAACCTAACAGAAGTGTTTACAAAAAATAATTATTTTATTTTGTAGATTTTCTTGCAGTGCAGTGGCGAAATACCCGTAAATGTCTATTATTATACTAAGGGTCAGCAATTCTGGTCTTGGGTGCCCGTTTTCATGTGTACGAAGAGTACGGTCAACACGCTTAGTAAAATAAGATGTACGGAATAAAGACAAAAGGCGAGTATTTTCCCAAGCGCATGGAATCTAACGTCAGATTAAGTAGTTATGTAATAAATACTTCGTATTTTTGCTCACTCCGACTTACTAGATTGCCATAACGACTCACTCCTATACATGTAAACGCCGACCTAAAGGTTTGTTTGCCAGCGGTGTATAGGACACAGTGAATGCCTAGCTGTATAGTTTAATTTTAACAAGAAGTAACTATTTCCTTTAAATTTTAGATTTCAAATCCGGATGAAGATCGTGAAAATGATTGTACAAACTGTCCCTGTGAAAAGCTGTATCAGCTGAGAAAAGCCCACATATTCTTATGCAATAAAGTCGACGAATACAATGCGCTGTTTGGAACTGTTCTATTATTTTTGCTGTTTGTAATTACTGTAGTTTGGCTGGATTGTACTGTATTCTTCGCCTCCATCCATATATTACGTGCCAACGCAGCAAGATTCCATTTCGATCAGGGACATGGCATGTTGTACTTTATTTTGATTGGTATCTTTTGGATAGTTGGGGCTTTGGTAAGGTGGTTTTTCTGATTCTTTTTCTATCTTTTATCCTGTAAAATAGTACTATAACTTGATTTATTTTATAACTGTCCAATCCATTGTACTACTACCTATGTTGCCATTTTATTAAGAAATTATGTTTTTAATTAAAAACTATCCAAAATAAATATATAAAAAAATATCCAAAACATTTTTCAAAAAGGTCAAATTTCCCCAAAAAAATGTTGGCGAAAAAAACGCATAATCGTGTTTCTGGGGTCTAAATATACTACCCCTAAAATATTTGCACTTATTTAAGACTCTGTATAGTTCTTTTAAAATCACAAACATTTCAAAACTTCATCTGGAGGCTACAGGTATATGGGTTGAACCATAGTAGTAATCAAATTAGCCCTGGCAGGAGAAAAATGTTATCTTAAAATAATTTACCTACAGTTCACACCAAATAAACTTTTAGTCACGTGATTAAGCTTGACCGGCACAGCGTTGCCCACTTTTATATATTTTATTTTAATCAAAATATTTTAGGAACCAAAAATAAATTAATTATAAACATATAAACAGTTATTATTTACATCAACAAATCTGACCTTCTTAACAGCACTTAAGGGACATAAAGGGCCATTACTACCTCTTTCCCGTTCAAAATATACTAATAAAGTTGCCATGAGATTTTTACAGCTATTCATCTTGGACCACTTCGCACTAAAAGAGGTTCTAAAAAGAACAATGTTCGACTGCAAGGTCTGCTAATAAACATTTTCAAGCTTAAGGTATCACAACACTATTTATTTAAACCAAAAACTCGTAATACAAAACAGAAGTGTCAAAACGAATGACACTGTCAGAAAATAAATAAATAACTGTGGCAACTTGACATTTTTTACAGCAGAGCTACCACCTGAATCCTCAGTGCGAAATTTAAATTCCATTTAGTCAGCACGGCGCTGAATATGTCCATGGTTGGCAACAATGAATTTAAAAATTGCGCCCTCGATTACGTAACTTAATGTTTAATTGATATGGAATATACTTTTGTTATTTTAGATATTTCGATATTTTTTTCTTTTTTTTTAACTGTGCAAGTATTTCCTAAATTCAAAATGTTATTTTTAAATTTTAGATTCAAGCATTTGCACTGGCATCAACCGGCGAAAAGCTCCTAAACGAAAGTAGTAACACTTCCAAAACCTGCGCCGACATTCTGGCCAATATCCGGCCAGTAAAAACGCCCGATTTGGATAGATGCTTCAGAAGAGAGCTGGAAATGTTGTTTTGACAGAGTTCTTTAAAAAAATCCTGCGTTTCGGCTGCGGGATTCTTCGAGGTCAATAATAAAATGCTAGGTGTCATGGCAGCGAATGTTTCATCGTATTTACTCATCATTCTTCAGTTTTTAACTCAACATACAGAATAAAATATCATGTATCATGTATCTAATTTAATATTAAATAAATTATTAAAATAATATAAATAAATTCTTTAGCAGATAGAAGCTCTTTAGCTCTAGTCTAAGTCTCGTCTCGCATCAAAATCTGACGATTAGAGACGAGACTAGAGAGTAAAATATTCTTCGGTAATAATATAGGTTTGTTCCAACACAGAAAATTGTACCTAGAAATTGTTTCTAGAAATTATATAAGCATTGTGCCTCCGAATTACTCACTTTTACCAATTTTTTTAATAGGCACAAATTCGTCTACTTTTAAGAAGATAATTATTGCCTCTACTGGAGGCCTGTTGCATACCTTACAAATTCATTTAAAGAAGGTGTCCATTCTTCGAGAGAGAGAGAGAGAGGGAGAAAACTCTCTCTCTCTCTCTCGCAGAATTGCAATAGGAAGCAAAGAAGCTTCAGAACCTCCGTATTCAGAACAAATAACTTGAAGACATTACTAAAGAAAAATACATCATCAACCAGCCACTAAAGCCCACTGCTGGACGTAGGCTTCCCTCGTTTGAGACGTTTGCTTCCATAACTCCCTATTTTGAGCTATTTGCATCCAGTTACTGTATGGACGGAGGTTGGAGGACGGCCTCTGCTCCTGTATGCATCGTATCTGGTCTCCATTCTATCTTCTTCGTTTATCGGTGATCGTTTAGCCTTGCAATGTGCTCTGCCCAATTCCATTTCAAAGTGGTTATTTTCTCTATGGCATCCATGATTTTTGCTCTGTCCACTCACACGTTTTTGAGCAACCCTATGGAAGTTGACCATACACCTGAAATACATCCTAGTACATACTTTAGATTTGGTTTGGTTTCTTTTCAACAAGCCCTGGTGGAACAAAAACTGGCCAATCTTAGGTCGGAGGCCCGACGACTCTTCAACAGAGTCAAACACAGAGGCGTATGGCAGCTCTACACCGAGAAATTAACTGAGTATAATAAGGAGATTAGAAGGGCAAAACGGCCCGACTTCAGATCCTTTTGCAAAAACATCACTTCAACTACTTATGCAGCTAGACTACACAAAGCTATGGCCAAGAGTGGGCCTATCCCCAACATGGCACTTAAGAAACATGACGGAAGGTACACGGAAGGAGATGAAGAGGGAGCCAACCTCCTACTTCATACACACTTTCCAGGTAGCATATCTATTGATACGCAAGTAGCTCCGACCGAACCCCACAATCCTCACAGGGAAGACTGGGAGATGGCGAAGCTAGTAATAACAGAACAAAAACTGAAATGGGCTGTTGACAACTTTCAGCCTTATAAAACAGCAGGTATAGATGGGATTTTTCCTGCCCTTCTAAAGAAGGGCCAGAAAATAGCTACACACCATCTATTAAACAATACAAGAAGCAGCTTAGCGATGGGATATATACCAACCATCTGGAGAAGAGCGAAAGTAATCTTCATACCCAAAATAGGCAAAACTGACTGGGCTAACCCCAAATCATTTAGGCCTATTAGTCTCACATCGTTCATATTAAAAACGATGGAGAAAGTAGTGGACAACCATATTAGAGTAAATCATCTAAATGTTAAACCACTGCACGATAGTCAGCATGCATATAGAGCGGGCAGTTAACTGAGCTAATACAGGCAAGCCTGGATAGCAAAGAAACAGCACTTTGTGCCTTCTTGGACATTGCAAGGACGTTTGACAATATACCTCACAAGATGGTCAAGCGATCTCTTGAAACAAGAGGGGTGAATAATACGATAATTCGCTGGTTTTGGGAAATGCTCTCCACATGAACAGCCGAAGCTGAGATAGGTACCAAAACTGTAGTTGTTAAAACAACGCAAGGAACTCCACAAGGTGTAGTGACCTCCCCCCTACTGTGGAGCTTGGTAGTGGATGAACTACTGGAAGAATTAACTCTAGCGGGAATACACTGCATAGGGTATGCAGATGACATAGTCATGATAGCACGGGGGAAACATGAAGGCATCTGTGTGATATTATCCAAAGGGGACTCCGCATCACTGAGAGATGGTGCAAGACTGTCGGGCTGAGTATCAACTCAGATAAAACCGCGGTAGTGCCATTCACCAGAAAGCGAAGTTTGAAAAACTTGAAAAGAATCCATCTAGATGGAAAGGAAATACTGCCCTCACAGGAAGTGAAATATCTAGGAATAACCCTGAATAGTAAACTTCTCTGGAACAGGCATGTTAAGAACATTACCAGCAAAGCCACAAAGGCTCTCATGATATGCAGAAGACTGGCGGGAAATAGGTGGGGCTGCGCCCCTAAAATTTTGCGCTGGATGTATACCATGATACTATCATTAACGATACCCATCGTTACGACCCATTATTACATATGGAGCAGTTGCTTGGTATACAAAACTAGAGCAACGTACAGCAAGGCAAAACCTGTGCAAAGTACAGAGACTGGCATGTATCTGTATCACAGGTGATCATTGACGGAAACAGCACTGGGAGAATTTTTAGGTCAGGGGATTGGAACACCCTCAAAAAGAAAATTCCACTTCTCCAACTCCCAGTGGATGACATACGAAGAATTTACAACTTTGAGAAACACCTCACTGTAGTATTGAGTAATAAAAAGGATTGGAAGGAAGAAACGCTTACTCAGCATATAAAAGACTATACCATAACGTGGTATACTGATGCTTCCAAAACCAAAGCAGGGACAGGGATAGAAGTATTTGGGCCGAAAACCAAATACTCCGAACCAATGGGCACCTACCCCAGTATCCTTCAGGCAGAAATTTACGCTATCGAAAGATGTGTACAATTTATCTTAGATAAGGAACTATCGAAAACAGGAAATTGCCATCCTATCCGATAGTCATGCAGCACTAAACGCGATCAACTCAGTAACCATCAATTCGAAGTTGGTCAAAGAATGCCTAGAGAAGCTCAAAGAGTTGGGCAAAGAAAATAAAGTCCTCCTACTCTGGGTGCCTGCTCACCAAGGGATAGAAGGCAATGAAAAAGCAAATGATCTAGCTAGGAAAGGAGCGAAGACTCCACTAACTGGACCAGAACCGTTCTGTTTTCCAAGCGGAAACCAACTGAAAGCGGAACTGAAGAATCTGGAAGACTCCAACCGCAACTTGGAATGGGTGTCCTCCAACGGTCTAAGACACTCGAAAAAGTTCCTCAGAACCTACGACCGAGAAAAATCAAAGGTTTTCCTTGATTTAAGTAAAAACAATCTTCGGATTGTCACGGGGTTTCTAACAGGAGACGGTCTCCTCAACGAACACCTTAGTAGGCTGAAGCTGAGAAACAACGGCGAATGCAGATTCTATGGGGAAACACCAGAACACCTCATCACTGAGTGCGCCGAGACGACGACCATCCGTGCCATGAACTTTGGTACGGCTGATGTCAAGGATGGAGAGCTGCCCTCTGTGGAGCCGTCTCCGATACTGGCTTTTGTTAAAGCCTTGAGACTGTATGATGAGTTATAACTCGTTATAACTCAAGAAAGGGGAACTCACAATAGATCTTTAAGATCGCGGTGATTAACTCCCCTCCTAAACATTCTACATTCTACATACTTTAGGTTTGCACTTAAACAAAATTAACAAGTTTTTTATTCTAGGAGCTACAGATACCCGACGCGCTATTGCCGGACTCTGTATATTCCGCCGCCAATTACTAGGTTTGTCATCACTTGGATTTTTGAGATATTGATTTTTAGTTCTATTTGTTGAGAGGTTGCATTCAATTTTTGTAACATTTCTTGTGCTTTATTTACGCAATCGGATATCAAGACAATGTCATCAGCAAATTGCAGGTGGTTCAAGTTTTCGCCGTTTATATTTATACCCAATAATTCATTCCATTCTATCTGTTTGCACATGTATTGGAGCAAATTATTAAATAACTAGTTGAAGCCTGGCGCATCCGCCACAACATCAGAAAAAAAAATACTTTTATTTTTATTTAATTAAATAAAAAACAAAAAGTCCGGCGACGACAGTTTTTAGAAGAGCCAATTAGCTATCTTTTAGTAAAAAAGCAACTTTCTAGAGCCAGTCGTTACTTCAGTAGAGACGACACAGATAAACATTAGCATTTTATGTAGATTTTGGAGAGATAGTGTCGCCATGGCGAACACCTTTTTCTATATGCAAGTTGTTAGTATCTTCGTGAAACCAAACACAAGCTGTAGCTTTCTCATATATTGTCATACTGTTCTCATATCATTGTAATGTACCGATGATCTATACGAGAGTCAACTAGGGATTTTAACATTTCTTGTTGGCTGATGGTATCAAATGCCTTTTCGTAATCGACAAACACTAAAACTAACGGTCTATTTTTGAACACGGGCCCGCGACTTCTTCGCTACATCACTGCACAAAGCATTTGGAAAATCATGAATCTGAGTACTGTTATGGTTTGGTTTGGTGGGGTTGTTTTCGGTTGTTTTTTTTAGGAATGGAAGTGGAAGAAGAGGGGGAGGTGTTAAAGGGTCAGTCACACCTTCGCTAAAAAACAAAAATTTAAATTTACACTAATTTTCTATAAATCTAGCTACCGCAACTAGGGAATGCAATCCCGCACCAAAATCTCAATCCCGCAAACCCGCGGGATTAAAGCAATCAATCCCGCGGATCCGCAAAATTGCGGGATTGTAAACAATAAATGCTCTTCTTTTCTCTCTCCGATTTTGGGATGAGGTTTGGACCAGGTTTTAGACGCATCGATTGTGATTAAGATGCTATGTGGTTTTCGAAAATATATTTAGCGAATTCTCGTATATAGAGTGTTTTATAATAGAGTACAAATTTGATCAAGATTTTTTTTACCGAAAATTTACAATTTTTGAAAAATCGAAATTTTAGCTATGTACGACTAATCTGTATTGAAATTAGAAAAAACAATTTGGTGTTTTTTTAAATTTTTTGTTTTAAGGAAAATACGTTTTTTTTTTCGAAAAATATACATTTATAGTCATACATTTGGTCATAAATGGTACAAAAGGCATTGT